AGTTAAACTAATTTTAAAAATCCAATAATGCATTAAATATATTTATAATATAAATTATCTTATTGTATCTTTATGTATCTTTATTTTTCTGCCACTGTTTGACACTACATGCAGTTTTCTACTTTAGCAGTTTCAGCTAAATAATTATCGCCATTCTTGAGCTGAAGATATATTGTGTCAATTCAAAGAATACATATGGAGCAGAATAAGCCCTCATTGGCGCCTACAATAATTAGACCTAATTTGTCACATGACCTGCTTTTATGTGTCCAGTGAGTGGAATATAACCTGTTTTCACCTTTCCCCTCATCACCGGCATGTACTTGAGGGCCAATGAATTCATGTTACCCATGGCTTGGCAGTGGTGCATGTTTCCTCGCCACAATAATATATTAATAATCAGATACTGCCACCGCATGTCTTGCTGTCGCTGTTTGCTTGTTTTTATAGTTCACGGGTCAGTGGAGTGGCATTTGGTGCATGTCCCCTGTGCAAGTCATGTCTGTACTAACTAGCTAGTTGTGACCACTGTGAGGCCGTGTCGGTGACGAGCCGCTTTCATAATGTTGACTATGTAGGCTAAGTGACAGGCATGATAGGGAAATGCTTATGCAAAACTGCGTATGAATAATGGATGAACTCATATCAATTCACAGATCACATGACCATGGCATAAGCAAACATATTGTCCTTGTCTGTTTGATGAGAGTGGAAGGTCACCAGAGGGGGGGGAAAAAGAAAAAAAAAGCAGAAAAGAGAGACGGCACATGAGAAAAGTGAGTTTATCTAAAGGGGAGGTCATGAGAACTAAATAGTAGCACAACAATCAATGCTATCTAAAAATATGCAAAACAATAAATGATGCCATCAAATGCATGAACATTTAAAATGCAACACATGCTCGTTCACTTCAAACATGGCAGGTGCAGAACCGGCCATTTTTCTCATTGGCTCTTTTATTTTCTGTCTGTTTGAAATGGGCCTGAACCTGCTCATTAATTTTGTTAAATGAGGTGAGAAAGGTGTTTTCGAGATGGATGGGGGGTTGGGCGATCTTGAAAGCATTTCCTGTGATTTTGTTAATGTGCAGATCAGGTCCACCAACCCTGACTGCAAGCAGCTACTGGGTCAACGACCACAATCTCGCTCAAAGTCTTTGCTGTACTCCATTTACTTTGGGCCTCTAGGGGCTAATGTTTTGTGACATTGCCAGTTATGCTCAAATCACTGCTCAAATCACTGAAGTTCGAACTGTATGCCTGGATAGATTTAGTGCAAAAGCTGATATTTTGTTATGCATAAACCTAAAATGAAGAATCGATTGATTTTAAGCTACCATTATGCTCTAAAAGAGCAGATGGGAGCAGCATCTCCAGACCAGCACAGATCAATATCGCCATCTTTGTGCTAGAAAATCTCGCAAGATACCTTCACAGGCATTTGTCTGTTAAAAGCACATATCTGAATTGTTGCTTAACCCAACCAGTGACCCTGCCACTTGCAATCTCCCCCCCCTCTGCCCAGATTCACCAGTGCACGATCCCCCTCAGAGGCAGGCGATACAGGGTGTGTCAAAAAGGGCCACCAGAACCAAACAAGAAACCTGTGATTCACAAATCCGAAGGCTCGCTCCGTGGCTGCTTACTCATCTGTTAAAAACAGAGTGATCTGGAAAGTTTGTATGGGAGGCCTTTTGACAGAGCCCTGCTGCTCTGTCAGTGCAGCACATGCTCTAGGCACTGGCATCCCCTATTGCCTTCCAGGTCATTGGGTAACCGCAGAGGGGGGTCTGCCCCAAGCCCCATGACAAGCCTCTGATTCGCAGCTGGATCCGTAACAAGGTATCATAGTAAATGAGTCGGTAAAACATCACTGAACTGAGGAGCGTGACAAATTGCCATGATATCATTTGTAATACTTAATGTGAATTGCGGAAGAAGGCGGTTCAGTTAGAACGGACTCTCTACCTCATCCAAAACTGAGATTATTCCTAATGCGAGAAGGCAACGCATAAATAGTCTCGGCATCGTGATTTTACAGGTTGTAGGTGTTATGACCGTGACATGGGTTGTTTGTGACATGTTGCCCTGCTTTAAATTTAGGTTGGGCTCTTCATTATAAATGAACAATGATAATGTCACAAATTGCTGCTGTCTTGAGTTAGGTCTTCACCGCAGCATAGCACAGCACTGTTTTGGCAGGTTTCAGAACCTCCTAACCCTCAAAAACAAAAAAAGGGAAACCCCAGAATCATAACTTTGAAAGTCTCCTTTGCTGTTGCTTGCCAGTTTAAAAAAAAAAAACTGTTCAAATTTTCCTAATATTTATTTTAAAAAATATTAGATTTTATGTGTATCTGTAAAGTTATATCAAGCAAATACCTTTCTTTTGTTTATTTTGTGCTCCTGACAGATTATTTAATCATTGTTGTGTTAAAACCATTGCACTTTAATTTACTGAATTTTGTTTTGATATCATTATTAATCATAAAATAAATCACACACACATATATATATAAAACAAATATATATATATATTCACATGCAGGTATTATTTCAGAAATATTATTATTTTAACATTAACTTGCATGTGTGTCTGAAAAAGTTATAATTAAAAATAAATGTTCCTGGAAATCACAATGGATATCTTAGATCTAAATGTCATGGTTTCATACCAAATCCAGTGACATTTCTGTGATGGGATGTACCCCTGGGTGAACATTGCCAACACTGGCAGAGCATTGATGGCACTCATAAGGAAGCTTTGTGATTTGCATTTGTTAGGCTCCATAAAATACATACTTAAATGCATTTTTTATCATGTATTAAATGATTTTTTCTTATTTTTGGGGTTTGATGTCTGTTGTATCACTTACTCATTCTTGTTTCTTTAATTACATCAAACATGAATAACCAAGTAACTTTTATGATCTAAACAGATTTGCAGGGACAATACTAATAAATCAAAACCGATATACCAGAATTCAAAGTATAAAATAGCAGATACAGAGAACATTTGCTTACTTGAAATGCCAGAGTTAGATTGTGACTTTCCATCCATCCATTTTGTCCATGTTTTTTTCTTTAATCTCCAGCTTCAGACTTGGCACTATTTCAAGATTTCCAATCAACCAGACATCCAAGACACCAAACCCTGCTGATTCATTGTCCATTTGTACCAGGGTAGACCAAAGAGAACAAAGGCGGTCAAGAGTTACTATATGCATTCGATATATTCTTACATCAAATCATAACATTCAGCCATTATCCACTTTCCACGATTTACAGTGGCATCAAATAATGCTGGTGCTGCTGTATCAGATTTGGTATAGAAAGTGAAATGGTCTGATTATGATTTTGCCGCGTGCATATCTGAGCGACTTACATCAGACGGCACAGACCCCCTTTTTGGGACAACCGAACTCTGGCTTCTTTCGGGGGCTCTGTGGTTCCTAGGGGAGACCAAAATAGAAGTCGTGGATCTTGCTGTGATCCAAAGAAAGTGTGCCAAATGCTATCAAAACTGGATTAACAGACGACAATTGAGGTTGATGAAAGGCACTGGGCAAGAAAAAGGGATTTTCCAAGTAACCCATCAATGGAATTTCAACCTATATGCAATATGTTGATGTTATGAGTTCCCATTCTACACCTGTTATGTTGTGATATTGTTGCAGACTATTTAGTTGGTGTGCTCATTGCATTACTGTTCTGTCCTGGATATGCAATGTATTTAATACCTGGTGTTAGCATTGAATGTATTAATAAGTGTAGTATACTATAGTATGAAGTATAAAAAATATATCTTGATTGTATACATATGTGAGGTATATCTTTTCTGACATTAAAAATAGACTATTTTAATAGACAAGTTGTCCAAATATAGTTTAATATTTGAAAATGATGTATGAAGCCTGACATGGTTTGCTCACTTATTTTAGATTCGGATGCAAAGGACTGTGCCACAGTTGTTGTTTTTTTTCTTTTGGTATTTTTTGGCTCTTACAGAGTTCCTCTCCTGCAAGCAATGCTGTGCACAACCATCACATATACTGTATATAGTCAGAGAAAGGGTTTTTGAAACCTGACATTTCCTCAGAGTCCCCTGCTGACTTAATCATGGCAAATATTGCGTGTCATTTGTTTGCCACGCATGGACCTGGCTGATGGTAGTAGTAGTAATTCACCACCGCTGTGCGCTGGTTCCTGGAGTGCTCTACAGTCATGGTGTCGTGCACGTCAGCGCATAGACATGACAACCAGGATCATCACCAAACTGAGGCTATGTTTGGACGGAATAACAGCTTACTAACTCGGTATACACTATGCTAAAAAAAAAAGTTTTAACAGTAGTGTGCTAAATTGTTGTCATGTAATATGTATTACATTTAGTGAGTGACATTCTATTATCATTATGGAAATAAAAATTTAAATAAAAAGTAATTTTGCATTGAAATCCAGGTCTGTGTAAAAAAAAAATGCAACTCAGTGAGTTTAGGTAATGAGTCAACTTTTGTTAAAATTCAAGTTTGATTTTACTTTATGCACCACACTGTAAATGGAAGCTCAGTTTAATGCATTGCATTGTGGTATAATCCGACACATTGTGTTGTGGTTGAATGCTGCGCAGTATTGGCAAATGTAGGTCATGCAGATATTTGATTTACCATAATGTGCACTGTATACTGTATTGCAGCAATAATATCAGTAGTATGGCAGTATTTCCTGAACATTGTCTCCAAACATACATTAATGTCTACTTAGTCTAGACATGATAATATAGATCACATTAAAAGGTGGAAAAAATACATATAAAAGGCTGAGTAAATATTTAACAAGAAAAAGAAAAAAAGAACATATTAATATGGATTTTATCATTTACTAGAATATATGCATTTGCCTGCCACTTTAAATCCGAAAAGGGGCGGTTCTTCATAGGCACCCATTTTTCTCTGGCCAATCAAAAGTCATTACTTTTATACATGGCGACGCAGGCAGCCAATAGGAGTACCTCATGCGAGGAAGCTGAAGACATGGCGCTGAGCTTAGGACGTGCTGCTTACAGAAGAGAATCTGTGCTGTAAGTTTGAACCTACTGGAGATTTCTCTCCTCTTTACATTATACGTTGTATGTTAATGACACTGCTCGGTTTTAAGGTGCATTAGTAATGAAAAACCGTCCCATATAAACAAGCGGAGAAAATTAAAGGAGAACATGACAAAAACTCCTATTTTATGAGTATGACATTGACACATTTTTAGATGCTTTCTTTTACAAGAAAACAGTTTGTCTGTTTCTTTCTGATGTATTGTTTCTGCCACAAAACGCCTAATGTTACGTGTCAAGTAGAAGTTAATAATCCTCCATGTGTCTCGTTTGCTTATGTCTTACCAGATGAATTGTTTGATGATATGAAAGCAGAGGTTTAGTGTCCAAAACTATTGGTCAATCGTACGTCCTGTTTACTAATCAGACATGCAGAATGGAAACATCCCTGTTTTCGAATACGTTATCCAAAGCAAATGAAATATTGTTTTGAGTTGAAATGATTATGTAGCTATGCAAGAAAGAGACAGCAAGGTGTCGAGTAGCGCTTAGCTTACTGATACACCTGTCATCTGTTTGCGATCTGCCTGTAACTTATCCCGTTTAATACACAACTGTTTAAAATAATAGATAAATACATGGGCTTGACATACTGATACTACATTACCTGACCGTGCCTTCATTTCATTTTACATTAAAACGGGTTTAAGTCTCATTGTAATAAAAAAAGCAGTTAAAAGAAAATGAAAAAACGAGGATGCATGAAATTGATTAAGATTTATAATGTTACAAAATATTTCTATTTCAAATAAATGCTGTTCTTTTGAGATTTCTATTCATCAAAGTAGAAATAAAAAAGAAAATGGTTTCCACAAAAATATTATGCAGCACAACTGTTTTCAACGATAATAATGAGAAATGTTTGTTGAGCAGCAAATCACCATATTAGAATAATTTCTGATGGATCATGTGACACTGACTAGTAGGCTGCTGAAAATTCAGCTTTGCATTACAGGAATAAATAACATAAATAATAAATTACAAAAAAATATTAAAACATTATTGTTCATCGCTGTTTTTACTGTATTTCTGATCAAATAAATGCAGCGTTGGTAAGCATACGAGACTTTTTTCATAAACATTAAAAAAAATCTTACAGACAGACCCCAAACTTTTGATAAATAATGTATATGCATAAAGATATATGTAATATTACACAGCTCTCTCTTTAATATACTGTACTTAAAATATTGAATTATTTTATAACTTTTTGTATTTATTTATATCTTTATTGGAGTTGTCTGTGGTTAAGTCTAAAGAACCTGCAGCATTATTATCGATGAATGCATTTATTTATTTGGTTGTAAGACACTTTTCAACATGTGAATAAAGTCCCAGTTTTAAATCTCTGAAAAAAAAAAAAACATGCTTAAATGTTATTTTGATAGAGTGTGTTCGCCATTCTTCAGACATGATGAATCAATGACTATTAAATTACATTACATTTTCTATGCTTAAGAATAATTTAACAAAAAATGTACGACAAGCTTGTCTTGTGTATTTTAAACAACCAGTCAAAATCACTAAAGCAAATTAGTACTGTATTTCTACATGGTACATCTGTGTCTAATTCCTCTTGAGAGACTTTAATGAGGGACTTCAAACAGTTTAAATGTCAATTACAAAGAAGGCATGGTTTTAAGGTCCCAGTAATCTGTCCATATTGGGCATTGGTCATCAGGACATGGTGCCAGGTGGCTGTAATTCATAGCAGATGAATTTCCAGAGGCGCTCCACTGATGGGCCAGCTAATGTACAGTGTGAACTGTGACTGTCACGCCAGGGTTTGTCATATTTGCAGTTATTATGTGAATATGTGGTGCGTCCAATGACAGTTTCGGTGCCTGAGGTCATCCAGGAGGATGTGTTTAACTCTGTTAATTAAACCAGCAGTTCATGTTTGTTATCCCTTGAAGACAAATCCATTTGTTCAGCTTCTCTAAAGGAATGCATCTCTCACACATTCACTGTTAAATTAGTTTGCCTGAGCAAACATATAGAGGATCTGGATTATCATCAGCTTCCCATTTGTTTAATAACTGTGTGAGCTGATGTGAGTGTTTTTTTTTTCTCCTTCCACAAAAGCCACAAAGCAAACTGAGTTGGCTTGGAAGGAAATTTGAACACATGGCTAACTGCACAGGCTGGACCCAATTCCGAGGGCCGTGAGCGGAATGTGTGTGTGTGTGCATGTTTTATGGAGAGCCGAGAGCCACTGGCTTGGAAGCAGACTGGTATATGTCACAAACACCCTCATGTCAAAGATGCAACAGCATCACATGGATTGACGCTATGAACTCGACAAGTGATGAAAGTAGCCTAGAGCTTGTCAATTACACTTCCCTAGTCTGGACCCTATAAGTTAATGGGCAGCTTCCCCTTTTGAGGCCTGCCAAGGCTTTATAGTACTGGTTATAAAACCATGAAGTGTAATGTGCTACTATAACTTTTTCAATTAAGAGCAACTGTGCAAATGCCCTCGGATACCTGGAAGCGCTGGAAAGTGATTTTAGAGGGTTTTGTTAGCATAAATCAAAGGTGCCGTTCTAGATGCCTTCATTTAGGAAACATTTTTAATGAACTTCTCTTCGGGATCCGAGCTTGATGGGTTTTTGCTTATGTAATAAGATTTTCACTTTTATTAAATGCTAAATGCCATTCCTTAAAATATCCCACTGTGCCCAAAGCCATCAAGTTAATTGTTCGTATTATTTGCTTTTAAACTACTGGATCAAATATACGTCTTTGTCCCGAGTTAGAATTTTATATCAACTGCGTTGGCAGCGCATGAAAGGGATAAATTAGGGTTGTTGTTGTTTCCTGTTCTAATATTCCTTGTGTGTGTGGAAGGACTGTGACATTTCCGAACAAAGTCAACAGGACAGGACAGATCATTTTAAATGTTCAAAGACGTCGGTCCCCCCTCATCTGGTGCCTTTTAGTGTAGGTGCAGCCTTTGGCATCCCATAGAAAAATAAATGAGTGCTGAGTAAATAGTGATGTGTTGACAACTCATTTCCACATTGATTGGTGCCGGTAACAGGAGCAGAGGTGTGTGGCCTTAATCCAATTACGAAAGAAAACCAGAGCCACACTGTAACGAAATTCTGACTACACCGAGAACCGAGTAACCCAAATGTGGGTTAACCGGCTGACCCAGTGTGATCAAAGCAAGCCTGAGGTTTGTTTTGGCTTGTTTTAGTGTGGAATAAGTATAAGCTGTATTTATTTATGCCGCTCCCTCATAAAGTGTGTGAGGTTGTGAGACGTGTTTATTTGTCTCTGCACTTCACGTATAACCAGAAAAAAAAAACAGATTACGGTTTTGCGTTCGTCTTGCTCTCGCATTTCAGATCAGTGCGTCAATATATCGGTCTATTACCTGTTGTTGACCCCCCTAAATTGGGCCTTTGAAATTTGTTACAGAGCATTAACTTAACACATGTTCTGGGGGAAAACAAAGGGGAGGTAACAGGATTGGGAGCCAGCTGAGTAAACTGAATGTTAGAGGGATGGCAGTTCGGAGCAGCGTTCTTGTCCCGGAGGTAACTGAGAAGGTCCATACGGCCAACAGATGGAGATTTGTGCTCTGAGTCCCCACCGACCCAAACAAGTGCCTCTGCTCTTGCATTAAATGCTTTGATCAACAGAGGGTCTCGGCCAGAGAGCGGCTCCTCAGATAGGCCGTGGACTCGCATCTGTATAAACATGGCCTTTCAGGAATGTGTGAACAATGCAACAATAGAATCTTGTTCTTGAGCCAGACCCCTGGACTCGTGCGGTTCACCGATCGAGCTTGTGCTCGGATTGAATTAACAGTTTTGGGAATATTCACTGTTTTCAGACATAACAGCGATGGGATGTTGAAACTTTGCCTTTGATTCACACGAGTTTAAACGTGTGAGTGGCACGAAAATGATGAGAAACCATAGAGCCAGTTTGCTGCAATTTAAATTCGTTTGACTTGGATACATAATTAACAGTATTATTAATGTGTTTTCTCCCAATTAATAGAAAAAATTGCAGTTTTTTTTAAAAACTGTTATGACTAATGTTACACAGCTCTTAAAATGGAGGTAATGTTTATACAGAAACAAAAAGGTGTTACATCGGACGGCTGTTTTTGATTAACACGCTTTGTTGTGTGCGTGACTAAACCGAACAGAACAATTATTTGAAAACGTTTACGGAGAGACCACTGAGTCACTGCTTGCATCAGGTGAACTGGCTGCAGTGTGAGGTGTGTGCGTTGGCTTGCATGATCTCCTGCCACAGCGTCTGCCACGCTTAGTTCATCATACTCCTGGCAGAGCTCTGGAGAGACACCTGGACTGGGAGAGCCAAGCTGTGCCAAGATCAACTGTAATCAACATGCATTTTCTGTCTTATACATCATAATTGTTAACTTTAGTGCTGAGTTTATGGAAGGCAGCTGAAGGAATTTTTGTAGTGGTTTAGATGCTCAGGTTTGTGGAAGCAGTTCTCTCTCAGTCCCCATGGTGTCAGTGTTTGCAACGTTTGATTATTGCCCTTTGGTCACGCGCCAGGTAGGCAGTGCAGGCCCTGCAAGTCAATGAAAAGTTTCAGGTTCCTATTTTATTGACAAGAATACACTTTTATTATTTACTTGTTTTTGTTTCTCAGTATATATATATTTTTGTTGATTTAATAATAAATTGTTGTTATATCATTTATTATTAGAAATTATATAGCAATAAAATACGCATTTATAGCAATAGCCGAATAATAAAAACATATTAGGTTAATATTTGGAAATAGCATCAACATCATAATTAATAAAATGATTATTGGGAAAGTAGCATTAACATTATAATTATAAAAAAAAGTATACAATTTATAATAGTAATATGCATTTATACAATGCATTATACAATAAAATGTTATATATATTTAATTTTATTACTACATCTAAAAAACATTATTATAAAATGTCTAAGTAATAATAGTTACTT